ATNTTATATATATATATATATATATATATATATATACATTGTACAACAAATATTCTAAACAAGTTATATATAAAATATCTTAATTAAATTTATCAAGTAATTAAACTAACGATTATAATATAATTATTGATCTATTAACTAGGAATAAGGATAAACATGTGCGATGAGATAACAATAAATTAGATTACAAATAATAAACTCAGCAATCTGATTAATATATATTCTAATCTTGCTATAGTTACAAAAATATATACATATACGAAAGACTTAAAAGAATGATCAAAATATAACTCGAATATTTACGAATATACATTACATATGTACATACACATATATGGAAGCTATATCGTTGAACCGAGGATGGTCGACCAACCAGGAAGTGATCATGGGTAACTGGCCTGTTTTAAAATTGGAATCCTTCTCAGGACTCGTATAATGACTTGTCATTAAAACGGGACTTTCTCGTGCGATACCTTATTCAGTGATGAAGATTGCCGCACATATTCAACAAATTAACAATAATAAAACAATTTTTCTTTTCATAGCTTCACTTTTCGCAACTGCTCTTTTATATAGTAAAGTTTAAACAAAAAAAATTTACAAGATAAAAAGCTATATATTTTGATAGCAAAGAATTTTAAAATTTGCTTTAAACGTTTATCCCCGATTAATGCGCGTTTTGCTATTCGTATATTTCAAACGATATTTCATAATTTAATCATGGCACAATGTTGTATTTGTAAAAATAAACGGTATAACTTCTGTGAAGATATCGATATTCGGATCCAGACTTCGACCAAGGCCTTCAATTACTACCATACTGAGAATCACGTTGATGAAGGTTCCATCTTGCTTAACTCGATGCCGAACCATGGCAGAAAACAATTCAGACACAACGGTACTTACGTTCACCTGTAATATTTTTAAGTGATCATTCAACGAGTCTTCTTTAATTGCAACCATTATTTCATGCGCCTTGTGTATAAATATTTTTTAAAATTTTTTTTAAAAATTCACATTGGTTCTACTTTGAAGATGCGTGTTTACAATATTTTTGATTGCATTCTTGAAACCGTCTGGATCGATGGATACATGCGAACTGTGTTCCAATATGTATTCTGCAGCTAATTCACCCTAAATAAATAAATATATAGAAAAAAAAAAAAACAAAAAAAGAAAGAATGAAGAAAAAATTAGAAGATAAAAATTATAAATGTGTGTAGATACTTTTCCCATGACCACCGAACGGAAAACATCCTTAAGATTTTGCCGACAACGATCATTGAGAGACACCACCAAACCGCAATCAAGAATGACCAAGCGTGGATAAGTCGGTAAATAATTGCGATCGATAAATTTCCAAAACCATGTACTAATTTTTTCAGTCGATTCATAATTTGTTTGTACCAAAATGTTACCAGGGTGCAAATCACAATGAATGAAATTGTCATTAAATACCTACAATTTATTCGATAATTATAATTAAAAAATCAATAAATTCGACACAATACTGATTATATATCGAAAATCACAAGATTTCCAACCATTTTTAAAATTGTTTTAATCCCCATTCTAGCCAATTTCCCTTGCAATTTGGTATTTTGATCATCGAGATAGTTAGAAATTGGAGAACCTTCCTGAAAACTTTCCACGAGTATTTCATGTTGAGTAAAATTCTTATAAGGTTGTGGAAATATAACTTCCTTTTTGTTAGAAAAATTTTTGGAAAATTGAATCAAATTCTCCGCTTCCAAATTCATATCAACCTTTACAAATGTTATTATATAAAAATTCATTATATAATATATAATATATGTTATTTATTTATATTTATTGTATAAATATTTCAAATTGATTGATAAATTATAATTAGCATAAAAATTACTTGATTTTCCATTATGTGCGAAAATTCATCGATACAATCGATGAGACTAAGCCATTGTAATTTAGGCATGATGTATGTTGCACATTTGCAGATTCCTCTCATTATAGAAAGATCTCTTCTAAATTAAACGAAAACGATAAAGAAAAACGATCTAGAGGTCCAAAAAGATTAGCTATTATTTCTTAAGTTATCTTAAGTTATAAATACATCGTACCTTAATTGTTTTTTGATTCCAGGATGTAAAACTTTTACTGCTACTGGTTGCAATTTTCGATTGATATACATATTTCCATGTTGTATTTCATCAACTTTATTATTAAATGTTCTCTCTGCAATTATTTTATGTAAGTATGTAAATATTTCGAATTTAATTTTTTCTAGTAAAATCAATTAAATTTTCATATATTTACCAATAAAAGTAATCAGTGAACCGAATCTTAAATATTCGATAACTGTAATAAGATTCGTTAAAATTTAAAATATATTATACATATAAATACCATATTAAGAATTACAAAAATATAAAAATTTATATTTTTTTTTTTTAAACTTAAACTTTTGTTATTATTTCATCGTAGGCATATATATCATCCTTCAGTTCAGTCAGAAAGAAAAAACAAAAAAAAAAAAAAAGGTGTTTAAATGGTTTACTTTCAATAAACGTAGATATTTGAGGTTCTTGTACTATATCCACTTGAGCATTTAGATCTATCCATGCCTTGTATACCTATCGATCGGATAGGAATGTAAAATATAATCTTTTAATCAAAGATCTTTCGATCATTTCATTTCATTTTATATTTATACCTGAGCACAACATCCTGATCCAATAGGCATCTCGTGTTCGAATTTTACGAATATGTTCCTCCAGTTCGAACCGTATATAGCTTTAAGTAATTGTTTTGTATAAATCCATGAATGTATAGAAGCGCTTTTTTGCAAATGTGATAGTGTATGACAAATATCTTCGGGAAACAAATCTTTTCGCGTAGATGCCCATTGGCCAAACTTTATAAAAATTGGTCCAAGAAATTCAATACCTGCAATTACAACAAATCAACATATATTTTCTTTTGATTGGTAAATATTATACTTTTTCGAAGAATTATCGGGAACATGTGTCCATGTGTAAAACGTGTAATAACATATCCAACAGCCAATCCGGTAAGAACAGAACCTATCACAAATATTCTTGCCATGATTAAAATGATATCAAAGAAATTTTTGCATTCTATATTTTTTGTCAACAAATTATTTATATAAATTTGTTTTTGGTGTTTGGGCTTATAAGATAAAATAAATACACCTTTTATTACTCTTTTTGAACTCTCAAAATTACTAATACTTCTTGCTATAGTTTGATGAAATCGTATCGGAGATACGTATTTCATCCTTTGCCATTTTTTCCCTTGATTTTGAAATAATTTGTTCAAATGAAATAATTTCGAAAAATTCGTATAAAAAGCCATTGCAAATCATTAATCATGCTCAAATAGTGGATCTGCCATCATCAATAAAATTTTTATATACAAATTTGCTTGTTTATAACTATGTTCTTCTTTCAAATTAATCCATTTTTTAATTGAAATTGTAATAAAAATGTTTTTTTAGATATAGTAACTTGCTTGCTATTTGTAAAGGTTAAAACATATTAAAAATTCAATATCATATATTAAAATTATGAAAATTTTTTAATTAAATTTTAATCATTTTTATACATACTATATTTTTAAAATACTTACTTTATATTTAATATTTTAAAATAATTATAATAAAATTGCATACATTTCTTATTTCCTCATTTGGTAACACTGTTCATGTATTTCACAAATGTGTTACTATTCGTTTGTGAAAATAGATATCTAGAAAACAGAATTTCTTTCAATACATAAAATTTTGTAATTAAGATATCGAATGTGTAACCGAGAAAATAAAAAAAAGATAAAATCTTTAATGAATTCAATGGAAATGAAAACTATAATTATTTTATTTTCAAAAAACTCATTTGTGTTTATACTTTTCTAACCAAACTTGATCGCCATTTATTTATGATCACTACTTAATTAATAATATCTTTTCCAATAAATTGTTAAGATAAGCTACAAATATTAGTATATAGTTGAAAATCTATATACATATATGCACGCATACATAATATTCAAGAATAAAATTAAAAAAAATAACTTCCATTTACGTGCATAAAATTTAAAAATAATAATGTCGATATATTGTAGAACACTAGAATGAATTTTGTTCACAATTAAAAATAAAATATACAAATTCAATACATAAATGAAAACACTTTGTGTTAATTTACAAAGATTAACTATAATGAATTAATATAATATTAGGTAAAACCTAATAATAAGCATACAGATTTCTACATTGTTAAAATATTGTTAAAAAATCAATAAAATGCCTACAATAGCTAACTCATCTTTAACATATGAAATTCTTATGTATTTAAACTCTTTTTATTTTGGTATGTTTGCTATATGTGAATTGGGTATGGGCTTCTTCAAAGCTGCGAATCTACCTTCTGGCACAAGTACTACATTCACAGAGTTCATACTCTTATTCTTCCTTATAATCACAGAAGGATCCAGAATTTACTTTGGAAGGAAAGGGAATTTGACAGAACATGGACTACCAATTCTTATTGGAGTTATTTTAACAGTACCCAGCTCCTTAGCAACATTATATTTTTTATTCTGGCAAAATTATGTACTCAAATTAGAAGTAATTCTTTGCAGCATACAATTGGTACTTTTAGCATCTGAATTAATTATTTCTATTTCGTGTCTTATAGCCATCTATAAACCTTCATCTCCAGAAGAATGAACAATCATATTAATATTCAAAAATTCAATTACATCGCATTGAATTGTATGTTTCTATATATTAATAAAAGTGAAAGTCAATTCAATCTATAAAAATGTATATTTAATATTCATAATAAGAATATCACTTTATTTTTTAATGATAACAAAATATAGACATTATATAGACATTATATATTTTAATGCCATATGAAAAAGATGTATAATCAATTTTGTTTTTTTTATTGATCCTTTTTTTTTTCTATAAAAGTGACATTTTTCGCCTATAGTAAAATAAATATTCTTGAATAAATAATATATTTTTAAATCTTATTAATTTTAACATGTATTATATTATATTATATATGTATATTTTTAAAGTACTCTACCTAAAAGTACATTAATAAATAATGAATTCTAAAACTGGATGCAATCAATTGAAAACAACTGATCGTTTTCCCCAGTGTAAAATATGTATAATGTTATCAAAAACATCATTGTCAACATTTAATAGGAATTGATAACTTATATAATTAGATATATATATATATATATATATATATATATGAATATATATATTTATATATATTCATTTTTAACAGAATATATATGAGTTTAAAAAAAAAAGTATTAAAAATTTCATAAAATTTGTACCTATATTTTTTTTGTTTTAAATTAATCTTTTATACTATTTGCCGCAGCTCTACGTCTTCTGATTGCACGTAATCGATTGTTACAATATATTCGTAAAAATACCGAACCAAATACTAGTAAAATTCCAATAATGCCGATAATTGTTACATGATGATGATATACCAGACAGGATAATAAAATAGCCAAACCCTGAAAAAAAAAGAGACAATATTTTTAAGACAATAATATTCTATCAATAATGATAGAATGATATGCAAAAAAAATTAATTACTTGTCGTATAGTCATCATAATGACAAATGTTACTGGTCCAAATTTAGATATTGTGTAAAAAATATACAATTGACCACTTGCAGAACAAATTGATATAAGTGAGCAATCCACAATAAATCTAGGATACTGGATAACAATAAAGATATTAAAGTTAAATCAAACATTATTATTATAATTAGATATATATTTCAACTAATTAAAATCACCTTTGTCATAAAGGAAAATATAAGTGGAAAACTTGATTGTTGAAATAAAGACATTGCAGTTAATAAACAAGAAAACATATTGACTATACACATCATTTGCACACTTGTTGCACCATACTCCACAAATAATGCACTTTGCCAGGTACTTGTAAAACTGTCTAGTAATAAATAACCTCCTAAGAGAATAATACCGGACACAGTAGTAGCTCCATCTAAAATCATTGGTAGAATTATTAAAAAAATTTATTCTATTGAGAGAAAATTAAAATTACATTAAAATAAAAAATCACATACCGTTTTTATAATCTGAACTATCTAACATAAACAATGTCATTCCAATGGAAATAAGTATAGCTGTAACATATTCATAATATTCATATGTAGTATGTGAAACAATTTTTCCCATAATCATTACAGGAATTATTTTTGAAGCTTTTGCCAATACCTGAAATGTATATAGTTAATGAACAATGCCCCATAAATAATAAAGAAAATAAAATAATAAAAATTTTTACCTGTGTTGGAAAACTGACATATTTTAAAGCTTCATATTGACACCAACTGCTCATAATATTTGATAGAGAACAAAATGCATATTTGTAGAGAGGTGCTTTATGCTGTGGTTGTCTTTGAATTATTAAATATAATCCTGACATTAAAAATGCAAGGATTCGATTTACAAATACTAAAAATTGTGAATCTTGAAAGCGATCTTTATTGCCAGCAACATCTTCATATTCCTAAGAATTTTTAATAAATATTTTCATATTATATAAATTTTTTCTGCAATTAACAATTGAATTATCTTGTATAAAATATTCAATAATAATGACACGTAATTAATATTATAATTTGTATTCTAAATATCAAAAAATAATATATTAAAAGTCTATGTTTAAAAATATAATACAACAATAGAGTATAGAATTATGTTTCGTAAAAAATTTAAATGAACTAAATATAATTACTAAACAATTTAAATTAATAAAATGTTTTACCATATATATATATTATCAATATAGTATAATATATGTTTGTATATTAATTTAAATTGATTGTTTAATCCTTTTATATTATTCAAAATTATTTATAATTCATTTATAATTATAATTCATTGCAACTTAATGATTCATATATATAAATATTTATTTATATTTGTTAAATGATTTATACCTGAGTCATTATTTTCTCTTGTAAGTAACCCCATGTTAAATAACTAATTTGTAATCCAAAGAAACAATACAAGAGTAACAAAGCATCTTGTGTGAAAGTACGTTGGGTATGATTTGATGGTGTGGATGAATAAGATGAATCCAATAGCCCTGTTTCACAATGTCCCACAAAACATGAATGTACTAGCTTGGGTATACATCCTTTACCTATTAAAAAATTACAATTTCAAGAAAAAAATATATATATTCTTTTCACTTTTATTTATTAATATATTTTTTTATTTACCTCCCCTTTGAATATATTTGGTATAACGTACATACTTATATATGAGACAACCTGGCAATAATACAGTAGCATAACTCAGTAAATTTAAGCACAATTTAATAATCCAATTATATGAGGAAATTTTCACAAAATTTTCTCCATTATTCATAAAAGATTTAATAATTTCGCTAGCTCCAAATATAAGACTCACTGAAAGTAGTAGCAATATGCTACAGAAAAAATTATTTTATTTTAACAAATGAAAAATATCATCCAGAAATTTTTTATATATATATATATTTAATTTCTTAACAGTAAGAGAGAAAAAAAAATGAAACACAATATTAATACTTAATACTATTCAAATAATTTCATATTTAGAACTCACCAAATTACAATATCACCCAAAAAATTTCGCATTGTTCTAATTATAATGAAATTTTAGTAAAAATAAATAATCATAAATTTACGATTATCATATTTTCGCCTTTCAACATCAAATATTTTACGATTATATTCAAAAGCATACAAATTGAATTATTACAATAATCTGCAACTGATACTATACTACATATTGCACATATTTTTAATACACAGTATTGTTTAAATCATTTTTAAAAATCTATTTACAAAAAAGATGTAGTAATCATTAAAAATTTGTTCATTAAAAATCAGTGATAAAAATTATAATACAGTATAATAATATTCCATTGATAATTTAAATATCTAAAAGTATATCGTCAAATCATTGTTTTGAATATGTCAAGTCAATTTTATTATTTTTCTAGCAACTAGTATAACAAAATAATATCTGTTGATAAAATACTCATTATATATATATATATGTATATATATACACACACACACACATATATATATATTATATATTGTTAAATCTATGCCATGCACTATTATTGATTGTTCATTTCCTTTATCTAAAAACTTTAGCCAATAAAAAAATTTTTTTCTTAAAATTATACATATAAAATTATAAATTTTTTACATATTAATAATTGAGCCTATTGTTTTTTTTTTTTTCGTTAATGAAAAATATTAATGAAATACGTATATACTTCAATTTAATAAAAAGATTATTTTAAATACATAATTTTTTTCTTTTTCGTTCTTTTTCAAGAAAATATTATATCTATATTTGATTTATATTTAAAATTATAAGTATAATAAAATAATATTTTCATTTGTACAATATGCAATATGCATTATTTATTCTTTTTTATTTCAGTTGTAATAATTATGACAATCTATATTACGACTACACAATGGTTGCACGATACAATATAAAAGTTTATTAGAAGAAAGACAAAAATATAAACAAATAATTCTTACTTTTTATAAAAGAAAATCTTAATGATAAAAATTAAATAATAATGAATGTTAGAATAGGTAAGCAAAATAATTAAAGATAATATAAAAAAATATTAATCGTTATTATTTACGGAAAAGAGGTATAGTTTTATCCCCTCTCTAAAGAATTCCGCCAGTAAACGAATTCAATGTAAAGTTTACGCGGCAATTGCTATGATGATGCAATTATTCATGTGATAACTTAAACTTTATAATATAAAAATTTATTATTTGTAATATTTCATATATTATTTCTTAAATAAAACATAATAAAAATAATATATATCAATATAATTTATATATATATATTAATTTTTTTAAGCAAAAACTGTGTTTACGCTAAAGATGACTACTTCTATTTGCAAAATGTATAAAAGGCCATTTACAGTATGTATAGAAGGTAATATAGGAAGCGGGAAAACTACATTTTTAAGTCATTTCAAAGAATTTAACAATACCACAGTTCTACAAGAACCGGTAGAACTTTGGCGAAATGTTGGTGGAACAAATTTATTGGTAATTATATTTCTTAAATATAAATTTTTATATATTATTACAATATTTATATATATTTATATATATTTATATATTTCTTATATTATATCATAGAATCAATATATTCATATATTAAATATTATATTATATTTATATATATAAAATTAATCTATATATATAAAATTTAAAATATTTAGGAATTAATGTATACAGATCCTAAACGTTATAGTTTCTTATTTCAATCTTATGTACAATTGACAATGCTACAACTCCATACTTATAAATCTTTAATGCCTTATAAAATCATGGAAAGGTCAGTGTTTAGTTCAAGATGTTTTATAGAAAATATGAAACGTAAAAAATTGTTACATGATGTAGAAGTAGTGATTTTGGAAGATTGGTATGATTGGTGTATAGAAAATGCTGATATAGAAACAGATTTAATAGGTATGTTATTTTAAATATATAATTTCATAAATATGTAAATATAACATATTAGTTAACAATAATCAATTATTATTTTCATATTAATATAGTTTATTTGAGAACATCACCAGATGTTGTATATCACAGAATGAAAACAAGAGCAAGAAAAGAAGAAAGCCTTATATCATTAGAATATTTAAAACAACTTCATAATATTCATGATGAGTGGCTTTATTATCAAACATTATTCACTGTACCAGCACCAGTTTTAGTATTAGATGGAAACAAAAATTTAGAAGAGATGGTTAAAGAATTTGAAAATTGTAAAAATCAGATATATGGTAAAAAAGAAACAGAAAAAAATTAAACGAAAATATTGCATTTTTGCTTGAAAATAATGCATTTGTTAATATAACTGAAAAAAATATTGAACTGAAAAACTAAAGATGAACTATTTTATGGTTTAATTTAAGAAAAATTTTTGATATCATAATAGAATTCTAATTATCTAAAATAATTTAATTAATTGACACATTTGATCTGACTATTTTTTAGCAATTATTGCGATTCATATTTTTATAAAGAAAAAAAGTCATTTAACAGTGGCATCGATAGTAAATAATTGATGAAGGATTCATGTGTTTTTTAATATATGCATTATGTAAATATTGTAATTCGTAGCTATTTTTAACATAATAATACGCTTATAGATGAATATTATAAAACACATGAATTTTTTTTAGATATTTTATAAAATATTTGATTTTAATATTATTAATAACTCTATTCTTCTATTAATTATTTTTGATTCAGATTTAAGAGAATGTATTATATTTTACATTATATTTTACGAAATTTTTTTTACAATTGTTCATAGATTATATTTTAAGATATGAAAATCAATATGAATAACAAAGTATGAATAATAACAAAGAAAATAATAATATAACTAATATCTAAATATTCGGCATATTTGATTATTCAGTATTGTCTCGATTTTGTGTATTCTACCATTATTTATTTTTTGATTAAATGTTTTTATTAAATTGTGGATATTTTCAAATATCCATGAAATATTAATTTTGAGAGCTTATATCTCTGCTTATGTTAAATTTAAGTGTTTTGAAATATCTCTATGTCCAATGTCAATTCAATATATGATAAAAAATATAAATATATAAATTTCATTTTCAAAATTCGATATTCGAATTTATTCTTATATTATATATACTTTTATATAAAGACATTGCAAAATTATCTAAATGAGAGCATCATCTCTCATTTCTTTTTTGATATCATATAATTTTTGTCTGAAACAATTTTTTATATATTATATTCTTGTCATATTTGTTCTAAGAGATTAAAATGGGATATCTTATAATATCTTATAATATTATAATGTATATATTATAATATATATATAATAATATTAATAATTATTAAGAAGAAAATAGAAATAATAAAGAATGAAAAAGACATAATAAAAAAATAAAGACAGAGAAACATTTATGAATTTTATATAATTATCATTTCTTGAAAGTCAAATAAAAAGTCAAATTTTATCTAATTATCATTTTGTTTTCTTAAATAGAATATATTTTTTAATATATAAATAAATATTATATTATATTAATCTCTTTGTAGTACATTATTTTCTAAAAAAAAACTTTTAAATCATTTCAAGTCAAAAACTAACTATTAGTTTAGAAGATATTTAATTATTATTAAATATTTTGTAAACTAATAATTTTTCTCAAATAATATTTTCTTGTAGAAAATATTAAGATATATTAACTTTTATTAAAAAGAATATATTAACTTATATTAAAAAGAATATAATTCCATATAAAAATAAAATTGAACTTGTTTTAGTAATGAGTTTTAGTAATGAAAAAATTAATAATGTCAGAATGTGATCCTCTTAAAATCATTCAATTTTTATGTGAAACATTTTTTAATATTATAAAAAGCAACATATAAGATATTCTAAATGATAAAGTTACATAGGACATATATATATATTTTATATAATATGTATTCTATATATTATTTTCTTATAACATACATATACATAAATAAGATATATACATATTTATAGTGAAACATTCTACGAAAACATTAAATATTTCAATTTTCTATTTGTTATTTTCTACCTCATCTTATCTTATCACCTTGTATATATTCCAATTATGTGCTTCAGATGTTCTCATATTTCATTCCATTCTCATTTTAAATAATATATCTTTTCTATTTACTTGTATATTTATTTGTTGTTATTATTTTATATAATTTTTTTAAATCGTTTTTTAACAATTTTATTCTAAAAATATTTACCTTTTGCATATTTACAAATTGTTAAAAGATTCAGTCATACATCGGATATACATCCGATACATCTCATATAAATTTATACATGAAATTTAATATTAAAAATATATGATATTTAATATTTAATATTAAAAAATGTTTTGAATAAAAATTAAACGGTTTTAAAAAAAACTATTTTTTGATATTATTCATTTTTTTTAGATAAATATATAAAAGAATGCACAATTTTATTTTTTAAATAAAACAATATATTTTTTAATGGATGAATCAATGTTTCGGTATTTTTTATAAAAAATTATTAGATTATGAAAAATAAAAAATTTTTAATTTAAGAGATAATTTAATGTAATTAAATATTTCCTGAATTATTGACATAAAATGATATTTTCTAAAAATATTTCAAATTTTTCTATAAAAAATAATAATTAATACATTTAATGTGTGAAAAATATATATAGTTCTTTAAAAAAAAATTTGATTTCCATACGACATTTATTCTTCTTCTATCTATATAAATGTTACCAAATTATGCTTTTTTTGTAAGTATTCAGTTTTTATCTGATAAATGTTTTATTACGGAAAAGAATATTGATCAATATAATATCAAATAAGATATATATATATATATCTTGTATACAATAATTAAAAAAGTATTTAGAAATAACAAATATGAATAAGATAAAAATCGATAATGATCAGATATGGATGGTATAATGTATATTTCATAAATACATTCTAGTCGATGGAGATAACGGTACTCTCATGAATACTGATATATCGATATCAATATTCATATTAATATCAATGTTATTATATTATTTTATTTTCGTTATAATTTATTTATTAAAATAAATAAAAAATAGAAGTTAATTTCTTACAATTTTATAATAGATCTTATTTTTTTCTTCTAATTATGGGAATTAAAATATTTAATTACTAATAAGATTAATTTTTATTTATAATTAATGAATATAACAATTATTTAAACATAATTGATTGAAACATAAATCATTAAAAAAATCTAATACAATATCACACATTAAGAAACATTATATCAAATTTTTGCGAACAGATACTAATCGTTCCGCACAATCGTATTCTTTGCATGTCCATAATATATTTATCAATTTACCAATTTCTGCATCTTTTGTATTAGCTTGTTTCCAGTCGAGAAATATTTGATAGATTACCTAAAAATGTGGCCATTAACAATATAACAATTTTTAATGAGATAAATAAAAATATGAGCATTATAATCAAGTTTACTTCACTTATGCCTCTGTATTTATAATTTTCTTCGAATTGTTCAATTTGACCATCCAAGTATAATAATTTTCTAGCGACATCTTTCCAACCATGTCCAATATAAGTTTTAATAGTAAATATATCATCTAAAGTAATTTCATCATTGCAAGTACATAAACGTTCTACTTCTATTGGCATTTGACGGGTTTTTGATTTTACGTCTTCTTCAACCTTATTCTTAGTTAATTGATTAATATTACAAATATAACTAGTTCTCGGACCAATTTTCACATCATTCGAATTAATTATATTATAATTTATGACGTGTGTTCCTTGTGCTGTAAAATAAAAAAACAATCACTTCAATCCGAACAAATTTGACATTTTTTTTTTCAATAAACGAATAATTAACACTTACAAGATTTATATTGCTTTGGTTTTTTTTTCGTTTTAATATTCGGTTTTGTATGTTCTTTTGAATCATGTGCAGAACTTTTTATATTATTCAAATTATGTTGTTCTTTGGTAGGAGAATTAACATTTGTGACAGGTATTGCATCGCTCTTTTCGAATGTTATATCATTTCGTGTAAATTGTGATTCTGTAGTAGCATTGGATTTCTTTGTTTCATTGTTTATTGATTCTAAATTGTGCGTATATCCTTTAATTGGTACTCGTGGTGGATCAGGTTTTGCATCAGTCGTTAACATATGAAAACGACGAGATAAGTTCGAAAGTATTGACATTTTCTTTAAAATTTATATATCATTTAAAGAAAATATCTTTCTATATTATCTAAAAAATATTATATGAATATTAAATTTTTTGATAAAACGATTTTCTACTAAAAAAAAAATATAAATATATTTTTCAATATTTTTAAAAAAATAAGCATTAAATAAATAATTTAATTAATTTTAATTAATTGCGTGTCAGTATTTTAATTGCTTTACTATATGCTCGATGTAATTGTATAACTACATGTATTTCAATTTTTTACACATTGTATAAATATAAAAGAATAATTTGGTAAGAAGCTATATTCTATTCTATATTAATTTATAATATTTTAATAACATTTTCTTTATGTATCTTTATAATACAAAAATACAAAATTCTTAATTTTCTTTTTTTGAATATATATATATTTTAATTACAAATTAATTATTCGGTATATTTTACTACTACAATTGCTAAGATAAAAATATATAAAAAATAATTATCATATTATTATATATATATGATCATCAATTACAAAAGAAAAAAGAAAAATAGAAAGGTAATAAACAGAAAAAAATTATAATATGATTAAAAATACTAACCATATGAATGCGACTTCAATGACCTTACGATGATCTGGGTTTTCCAGAAATAAAACCAGTTCTCTATATATAATATATAATCTTCTAGTAACAATAAGCAATACTTAGAAGCTGAATAGATAAATAATTACATAGCTATTATTTTCGTCTATCATTTTTATAATTTTTTATAAATTGATTGATTTAGACACTTAATTTATATCAATTTGCCTTCATTAATCATTTCAAAAACATCGTATTCTAAATGAAATTATTTTTCTTTCAAATAATATTTATTACATATTAATTTCTAGAAGACATAAAACGCAACAGGTTTTAAAACTTATATTTGATGTTAATTTTTTTTTTAATAATTATTATATATTCATAATATAAAACATTTTTCGAATACTTGTATGTATAAAATACTTTATATAAACATTTTTTAAAACAATTAAATTAATATAGTATTGAAAAAAAGATGTACAATTTTTTAACTCGAATCTATCCTTTCCTTATTTTTGAATGTTACACACTCATTTTTATATATAATAACATTTATTATAAAAAAAACTTTATCAATGTATATACTTATTATATTATATTATATATAGTTAATATTTCGCGTTAATATTTTGATTATAGTCACGCAATAAAAAAACGGCTTATCCACTTAAATAGAGTAAGCACTACATACTCATGGAAGTAAAAGAAGCGAACGCGTTATTAAAATATGACGCATAACCACAGATGAAGTACAGAACAGACTAACAGATCTATTGTCTTATAAGATTATATGTTCTATGTAAAAAACCAATCGTACAAAAAATCAGAAATTTTGATATGCCATCTATAATTTAAAGCGCTTATTTTAAATTTAAGAACCAACCACAAGAAATTGATAAAATAGTAAAAATAATAAAATATGAATGAAAATTTTTTAAAAAATTATGTATTATCTCAATATTCTATGGAAAAACTTAAAATAATTAAAGAAAAATTAAAAGAAGATATAAATCAAGCTGATCCCTGGTGGCAAGTTGTAAATAGAAAGGTTAGTATTATTATAACATTAATATTATCATTAATATTTTAAAAAGAATTTTATATTTATGAGATATAATAATGAAATTTGTAATATTTGATTCAGAAAGCAGAAATAACATATATGAATGAAGAAGAAAATAATGAAAAAGAAAGTAATAAAAGTAATGAATGTAGTGATATTATAACTGAGACATCAGATCAACTTTTATCCACACAATTTTATTTTACACAATTTGACAAATCCCTTCACAAAAATACTAAACATGAACCAAAAGAACATGAATCAAAATTTGATATAACAGAATATCTCTTGGAAGAATTAGAGCGTCCTAATGGAAAATTGGATTTAAATCAATTAGAAAACTTAACAGATACAGAACTTGTGGAAATAATTTGTAATTTGGAAAAAAAATTGAGTACATTGGGCATATATAATTTATGTCATACCATGAATAATATGATATTAGAACAACGTATGAAATATGCAGAAATACTTCATACTCATTTATTATTACCAAAGGTTATTTTTATATTATTAATTATAAATATAAAATTAATAATTAACAATAATTAAGTAATATATGAAAAATTACTTATATAAAATATTCTGTAAGTGCATTTAATAATATTTTTTAATATTTCTATAGATTATTACTTTAAAAGAACCTTCAAGATCACTTGTATCTGTTTTAATAGAGTGTACTAAAAAATTTCCAGATGATATTCAGAAATTAATTTTTATTCCTCTCTTAAATATTGATTTAATAGATACAACAATTATTATTGCTATAATAAATGCTTTCGAATTTGAAAGGTATATTGTTCTTATAACGTAAGTATTAACTCTATTATTAATTAAGTAAACTTTAAAAATATCTGAAATATTAAAAATTCAATGATATGATTTTTACAGGGAATATTTAACAAATGTGAAAGAATTAAGATTATGGCATATTTCTTTTTTACAAACTTTAATTTCTATTAAAATAGATATTTCTATGAATAACAAACTTATACAATTATTACATGAAAAAGCAACTGATTTTAGCAAAGATAAAAATTTTGGAAAGTTTATATTATCATTTATAAAATCAAATATTAAATTTTCTAACGAACAAATACATTTATTATGGGAAATAGGAAATATTAATCAAACATTATTTAAAAAACCTATACAAAATTTATTAAAATCTATGTTATCTTTGTAAATATTATAAACAGTATATTATGAAAAATTATATATGATAAATTTTATTTTTTATTATAAAAATATTTTTTTTTTTGATTTTATAATTAAAAATAGAAAAAAAACATAAGATTTTACGCGTGCGCGTAATGAGATTTGAAATTCAATGAAAATACAAATGGTGTAAACATGACTGAAGAACTCTCTGGTGTTACAATAGTGATATTTATTGCGGCCGGAGTTTTAACGATATTATTATTATTCATATTTGCAAAACGACAAATAATGAGATTCGCATTACGATCACGTCGTGGTCCTCACATTCCTATTGGGCATGATGCAAGGAAGGTATGAAGAATCGAAAAGGTTAAGTTACTTTGAGTGACATTCAAAATTAATAATATTTATATATAAAAATTATTTTAGAAAAAATAGTTTTTATTTTAATACAAAATATTATGACATTCACTTATGTAGCATTTACTTATAATTATTTATAATTATTTATAATAAGTAAATATTATTTATACTATGTAGTGTGTTTACATGTATTAAAAACTATAAATGATTATATGTGTATATATATATGAAAATATAGTATATCTTTAATTGTTTAGTCATTGAAAAAGGAAATTGAAAGACGGATAGAAGTAATACCAAAAATTCAATATGAGCCACAACTTATTAGTGATCCAAGACTTATTTTAACTCCTCGAGGACATGTTCCACCTCATTATTATAGATTAAAAGCAGTGGATGATGTTAAAACTTTAGGTAATTATATTATTACAAACTTTTTATGATATGAAATAAAACTTTTAAATCTAGATTAATTTCCAATATATATTCTTGTAGAAGCTGAAATTACAAAATATGATAATTGTTTAAGGAGGCATCCATCTGAAAATTTACGAGCATATTTACTTGCCACATTAGCAACTCCATTAAATGGAAGTGGACAAAGATTAATTCATCAATTCTGTGATTTATATGAACATGCACGACATGATCCAACTGAATTTGGAGACGAAGAATATCAAGTATATACCCGTTTATTTCTTAAGTTAATGGATGCGTAAGTATGATTTTTTTTAAATTGTAAAAGAAATTTACAATTAGAGTATTTATTGGAGCTTATTATATATTATTATAGAATGCAATATATGAAAAATTGTTCTGTTTTCATAGGGCCCGTTTGTTAAAATCATATCCGAGCAGTAGAAAATCTAGTCCAAGTCGTACACCTATAAAGAAAAATGTTGAAACGAAAAGGAATATATTAGAACCTAAAATGAAATTACCCGAAGATCAAACATTGACTGGTTCACGACCAAATACATTAACGGTAATGATGCTGGATAATAATGAAACATCTGTTTAGCATTATGAAAATCGTCACATACAACATATGTGACGAATAGTTGTTTCATAATTGCTAATTTCTACACCATACGGAATTGCAAGTAAGTAAAATACATATTTAATTTTTATTATAATAATATTCCAGAAATATGTTTTTCCTTTTAATTTCGTATCATCTTAAATTTGCAGTTGTTACGAACAGATTTTTTACAATAGAAGTTGTTTCAGTCTAACATGTACCAGTTTACGATTAAATATCGATCTCTGTTTTAATCGATAAATATTTAGTCCATACATCTCTATAATAGGAATTATGTCTTAAACAAATTAATGCTCGATGAAATGTGGATTTATACGAACTAGAAATATTACTCATTCTCATGTAATTTAACCATTCCATCATCTGAAAGGTATAATGTTATTAAAAGATTTTTAATTCTTATATCGTTATTACGTAAAAAATTGTTTAATTGCTAAATTATTATTCGGTCGTAATTATACAATATAATATATAAATAATCGTAATATATAAATAAATCGTAAATACCTGTGGAATTGCATGCTTCCAATCCTGTCTTTCAAATATAATTGTTAGAGCTTGAGGAAATAATTTTATTTTAATGTTTTGCGATTTAATTAATAAATCTTCTTTCATTAACATAGAATCTATACCAGATAAACTAATAACAGAGATAAATAAAATATCACAATAGAATTGTATTTTATCAAAATGATTTTGCTGTGATTCCATAAAAAATCCTTGAACTTGTGTCATAAGATCGAGAATCCAATTTAAACTGGATCTTTCAAATTGCATATTGATGAACACATTTCGTATAATATTCAGGAAATATGTTTGCACACTTTAATAAGAATATTAAGATATATTTTTATTTGCGTTATTAATATATCATTAAAATTATGATAAATCAGAAATGTTACCTAAATGTAGAAGCAATAGTTTCATCGATGATTTCGTTCAACCATGTTAAAGAAGCTTCGGAACTGTGTTTCTTTAAAACCAATTCACCTCTGATCGCGATTGCATTTTTCAATTTACCCGGTATTGTTTCCCACCATACTTTAGGAGATGTCATTCTTTCTAAATGTTTCATTGGTAATTCCAATGCTGCTGCGAAATAAGAATAAAACTGATCGCACGTTAAATCTATTTTGTCCAAAAGTTCTTCTAATATCGTAGAAAGCAATGTAGAATTAGCATGACATACTTCTGGATTTTTCAACGTTTGAGCATACGAATACATGATAGAATGGAACGATTCTATCGAATTTTTATTACCGACATCCATTTTTTCAATTACATGTTTCAACGTTATTTCTAAAAACGGTTTAATGATATTTGGTTGCACAGCTTGACACAAATCTTCGAGATTCGAATATAACACAGTGTGTTCATTGTTACTCCAACTAAAATCTATATCATTTATCGTTTTATACATCGATAGATAATTCTCTATGAATGATTTAGCAGATAAAGATATCGTTGCATGATGACACACGATTGAAAGAGTATATTGTTTCGTTTCGTTCGATAGATCGAGCATGTTCTTTAGAAAATTCCAATTAATATTGGGCAATGGTTTCGGATATTTGTGAGCAAATATTCGTAAACATTCCGTAATAATAATACGATTATTATTTGAATCAATCTTGTTTGACTTCCTCAAATATTCACCAATCGCTCTGATTACGCTTTTTTCTGGCAAATACTTGAAGTTTTGCGGTTCCCCTTGAGGCCAAGCGTAAATGCCAGATCGGAAACTGTTTACCTCTTCCGTCACCAAAGATATTAAAAGATTCCCGGCTGCTGGTAAAGCAGCTTTATTTATATTTTGAAGCATTTGTATCCAACAAACACCAGGTATATACGGAAGTATATCTTCTGGTTTTTTAATCGCGTCGATTGGTGTTTTCGCGTATGCTGCCGGTAATACGAGATTGCATTTATATTCCACCGGTAGTGTCTTCAAAGATAATTGTTCCAAACGATACGAAGTTAGGGCTTTAAGTGCAGAGTTGATTACCTTCACGTCATTGGACGTTGTGTACGTCCACAATTTCGATACGATATTGTCGATCAATCGATCGTACTCTTCAAGACCCTGCGAGGGTGTATAAAATGCAGCGTCAGCAAATAATTCACACAGGCTTTCCAAAACAATAGGACGCTTCTCTTTTTCCATTTTCGGAGCTAGCACTCTCCACGTTGAACAAATGTCTATTACGGATGCCTTGCAAAGAATGGAAATACATCCAAGTGCAAGTGCACTCGCAGTTCCACCATTCATGCTCGTCGAACGATTTAATATTTGCGACAACAGTGGTACCAAATTTTCCCCGTGCTCGGGATAATTTTCACAAATATATTTCATAGCTCTAGCGCAGGTCGCATCTGAATACCATGAGTAGTCGTTTTTCATCAATTGTATTATCGCTGCAGAGACGAATCTATAACATCTTGGTTCCCTTTTCAATGCTTTAAGATATAATTCGATTATAAAATATTTCAGTTGTTTGTCACCGTTCAGCAATATGTTCAATGTATGGTTTATAATTGGAACATTTTCTTTTGTACTTACAAGCTCGGGTATAACCATCAGTAAACATTTTGTTTCTGTACTACTTTTACATTTGGTCAATTTGTGCAGTATCAAAGAAAGTACGTGCGAGCCAAAACTATTTGTTTCTCTGCTGATATCAACGAGTACGCTACAACATAATTCGACTATCAGAGGTTCGTTCGATTGCAAGAGAAGACCAGATATCAGTAATTTACATTTGTCTTTTAAATAAATCGGTACGCGTGATATATTTCTTAACCAGGATAAAATATCACTCGAATTCCAAATATTCGAACAATGCATCACCAGTTCTGAATAGAATTGAATGTATGAATCGGAATGACTAAATACTGTGAAAAGTCTGTTTGAAAATATCGTCTCTACGTTACACGTTAAATTGTTTTTGTGAATATTTTGTTCGCTAAATCTTTTGCTAAGTTTAATGCCTCAGAACACAATACGGATGGATATGCCATCCACTTTATCACAGATGCCTTCAAAGTGCTAAAAAATATATCATCATAAGACATTTTCTTTGTTATCATCGTACCTGTAATGTAATATACGTTATACGATAAGTATTTATAGAAAATAATATAATTTTTTCTATTCTTAGATTATATACTTACATATTTGCAAAGCGTTGTACAAGTAAATGGCCGGGCATAAAGTAATTACTTCTGCCAATAATATCAACATAAGATTTCCAATATAGCTATCACAGTAGTCAATAATATTTAATATAACATCAAAATTCGATCTTGGATCAGAATCTTGTTTCAATAATTGTATAATCAAAGATGCGATCATTGGCAATAAAGCGGTACAATATTCTTTATTCTTCTCTGATAAAGCTTTCTCTGCAAGTTCTAAAATTCTATAGTTTGTATTTACACAAGAATGACTTTCTGCCGTGCACAACCAAAGTAAAACTTCTGTCTGTACATTTGTACCGTATTTCGATTTAATTAACAATTGCCAAACTTGTTGCATGCAACAATCCATCGAATCCAACAAAGGATTGCATAAAATATATAAAAATACAGGGCGTAGCATTTTTATACTATTTTCTTTAATTCTGAAAATTTTATATACATTTATACGCGTGTTAATACATACGTGCGTACATTTTATGCAAATACTTGTTTCCAAAAATAATTATACATACATCTCTATACATACCTATAATCTTGATGATTCACAATAAATGTTATTTGACTTAATACAGTCTGCCAGCTACGTTTATCTCGAATTAAAATGCTTATAAACGGATGCTGTGGCGTGTGTAAAGTAAATGAATATATTATTTTATTTTTTGCATCACGCTTTAAATCCAGTATCAATAAATGACTTATTGTTGTAGTGGCAACCATATAATTTCTATAATATATAATTACGCATATTTTTTATCAAAAAAAAAAAGATATAAGAAATATTATAGATTTAAAATTAATTTTTATACTTAATGGAGGAGATGCTCGAGGTAAAAGTAGATAATGCCTCGTTAATGTCCCATAATCCATTTTCGACCAAAGCAATCAAAGCTTGACAGGCTGATATGCTAAGCGTGGCATTTGTACTGTCTCGTTTCGATAGTAATAATTTAAATTCAGCTATCTGTTTAATTGACGAATTTTATGGAACAATTAAATTAATAGAACTTGAATATGTTATTATATATTAATCGAAGGAATAATATTTAGATTACCTTTGAAATATGATCCGCTTCTCGATCACATTTTTTTTCGTTATAGATTCGAAGAGTTTAGATGTTGCCTGTAGAAAAATATGTTGGAACAGCGATATGAATAAAAAAGATAAATAATTGTATGAAAAGAAAGAAATAACTCACGTGTGATATTAAAACAGGATTCGTAGATTCTAATTTATATTCTATTTCATTCATCTTGTAAAGTTGATATGCTTTTAAGAAAAGCGTCTTACATATTAATTTCACATATTTTTGTTCTTAAAGAAAATATGCGATAAAATTCATGTTTCATTACGCTAAAATTATTATTGCTACTTCCACAGTGACAATACTATTAATAAATATTAGGTATAATAAAAGTTGTCGCGAGCATATGAGTAGGTTATAAAACATAACCTTGTATCGTTAAAACATATTTTGTAATAATATATGTTAACATGTATTATTCGTAGTTTACAATCATTTATAATATGAAAATAAGAATAATTTATTTATACTATTTATATACGAGGAACATATGTATTATAGAAAGAAATTTTAAAAGAGCACAATTACATCTCTCATGCGGTTAAGAATGATAATATGAAAAGAATAAATACATATCGTGTCGTTGTGAACATATACTTTCAATAGCCATTTTTCTATAGCGGTTCTCAAACAAAATTAGATATGATATTTTTTTAATTGTTTGTACAAATATGAATGATAATTGTAAATATTGTAGAAATATTAATTAATAAGAAATTATTATTATAATAACATATATGAATAGATTATAATGGATTTATTAATTAATATATTATTTAAATATTCGAAATAGCAAAGGAGAAAAAAAAGAAGATAAAAGATAATATGTTATTATTAATCGACAAGAGAGAAGTTTGAAAAGGCGTGAAATTGACAAAGGAGAATGATGTACCGATCGAGGAATACTGTATAATAGTAAGATTTCCAATATATTTATTCGTATGGACAAGTTGGAGCATAGTGCACAATATAATTAATATATGTATAGTAGTCTGAGGAAGGGGTCAGATTACATTCTGGAGTTTGAACACAATATCTTACAATTTAACGACAAGATGCCTGCATTTCTGTATTTGCTTCTGTACGTATTGTTACTCGTATATTTATATATTCAGTATGTGTATAATATATAAAGCGTAACGACTCACTATTTTTATCATTCTAAAAAAATGGAGACGAGAATACGGGTCCTTGTTTATTACATTACGTTAATATTTCAGTCCGTCTTATGTCGTCATTTAATTTATTCGTTTGAGAATTTTTTGCAATGGATTATGCAACATTGTGGCAAATAGTACTCGCTAGAATATATCCTTAGGAGATTGTCTCCAATTGCTAATTACATTTGTATCTTATTATTTAGGTTGCGAGGAAGTAACAAGTTCAACATCGATACTATGTCGAACGAATCGATTTTAGCGTGAATGATCGAAATGATAATAAAATGTAAAAAAAAAAAAAAGGCGCTACATGAAACATAAAGAGGGTAAAAATCTGGATTTAAAACTTAATCGTTCGTTATAATACGTGGTAAATTTATTGCCACTGAATAAGATTTTCACCAGTACGATTTGAATGGATAACGCAAGAATAATCGTTATGCGAAAAATTTGCGATACCCGAAACGTATATAATATTTGACCATTGGAGACAGCTCCGTTTTTCCGCGTGATTAGCAATTAACAATCTATATTAAATTTTTGTTTAAAAGCAAATACACTTTACAGCCTATACAATCCATACAATCCATTGTTTTTCATCCCTTTTATTCACTTATTTTTTTTTTTTTTGTTTTTATTCACTTTTTTCATTTAATTTCTCTCGTTTAATATCTTCTACTTGAATTTAAGTTTGTGGAGAGCGCAGGGCAGGTCCAGGTACTTAGGCTATCTGTATATTTTCATAAAAATTCGTCAAGATCTTCGATTTCTTTTTATCACGATTCGCGTGTCGCTCCTCTGATTTTTTTCTTTTTACGTTTTATAAAAATCACAGCACAGCACCAGCATTTTTTTTTTTTTATTTCTTTTTACTTTAAAGCCCGCCCGATTCTCCTTCGAACACGTCTCATTAAAACTGAGACGATTGCCCGCGCGTTTCTCCGCCGTTCTCTCCCTTTTCCTCCCTTCCTCTCCCACTCACTCATTCTTACTTGATTCTTTCTCTCCCTCTCTTTCTCTCCCCCCTCCACCCCTCTTTCACTCATTTTACTTAAACAGATAGATATCGCCGTTGTTACGTCCGAATTAAAAAAACACGCCTTGTTCTCTGTTCTTTTATTTGGCATTTGCAACACTACGTACGGCACGATAAAACTATTTTCGGATTCTTGGCAACGTGTTTTACCAATCGTTCGTATTATAATACAACGCTTTTATCTTTTTTTTTTTTCTTTTACCGACGATACAATAATAAAATAATAGAACCAATAATTATTTATGAATAATCGTAATAAAAGGTACAATGATAATCGTCACTGAACTAACTTTAGGTAGCCATCAGGATGATACTATGGGCGCGTATGTATCACTGTGGCGCATATGTATGTGTATACGTATATATACCTAATAACTTTCTCCCTTCCTCGTCAATTAGTCTTATCCATCTTGATCATCGCTCTCTCTCTCTCTCTCTCTCTCTCTCGTATCCTTTCACATATACACTCATATCCATATCCACACAAATACATGTACACTTACACGTTCTCTCGCTCTCTTTCTCTCTCTCGCTCGCTTCCGCTCAGTTGTAATCGCGCAACGCTAACTACAATTAATCTTAGTAAACAAATAGCATTCTAGTGTACTCAATGTACAATCACTTATCGTCACGTTATCATTATTTAGAATTATCGTGATTTTTCGTTTTTTTTCGTTTTTTTCTTTTTTTTTTTTTTACGTCTTACACTCCTCTATCCGACACGTATTTTTTTGTTTGTATTTATTTGACATCGTTGACCGACGTTCACAATACATATTAATCGGTAGGGGGAAGTAATCAAATCGTGTCTAAAAAAACGTGTCGTTACGCGAGTCACGTAATTTCGCTAGAAAAATGTCGAGTCTGTGGTTTAGCAATCTTCTTCTTTTTTTTTTTTTTTACTAATAAAATACAACGATCTATAATTTCATTGTTATAGACAAAGTTCGCGATTGAATATTCATACATACGCGTTATACACAACTTAGTTACTGAAAATATGCGACGCAACAGTCGCGTATAAGCACGCGCAGGAATTTTTCGTCTTTCATTCTCGCTTTCATTCGCAATCTCTACTCGTTACTAAATATAAGTGCAATAAAAATGTTGCCCGAACGTGAGTCGAGGCTTACATTCTCTCTCTTTCTCTCTTTCTCACGAATCGGAGAAAAATCGGGCAATTGATTAACACCTTCTCCCTCGTCTTTTCGACTGTATATAGGATTATATCAGTAATAATTTTTTAAGGCCATTTTCGGCCCAGTCAGTCTAACGCAACGAGATATCATCGCACGCATGCTTCCCTCGCGTCTGCTTTTCTCTCCCACTCTCTTTCATTCCTCATACATTCTCTCTCTTTCCCCTCGTTTTCTTTCCCCGTCGTTTTTCCCCGCCTCTTTCCGAATTTCTTTAGCCCCAAAATTTTGCCGCGCCTTCCAATCCAACCATCGCGAGCCGTTTCTTCCACGTAACAGTAACATAGCTAATATTGTTGTCGTCGATTTCAAGTAAAATTCCACGTTTTTTTTTTTTTTGCAAATTTTCCGCTATCCGTTATTACGTTTCTCGCTCGAATACCTTTATTCCAGTTGCGTATCTCCGTTATCGTCATCTTCGTGTGAGACGTGGGATCGTGGGCACAACAGCGAGAATACGATAGATACATTCAAGATGATTCGTACGAAAGTTTCGAAAACATTACGGTCTTTCATTTCGAATGGAAGAACGAAGACAACGCGACAAGGAATTTATTTCTTCATTTTGATCGTATTCTCCGGAGAAAGAAATTTCCTCTGGGCATAAATTGTGCGTGATAATCCGATGGAACGATTCGCAAAAATAATAACTGCAAAATTAAAAGCGTACATGTTAAGAAAGTTACGAAGGAACGGTTCGATGTCGACGAATCGACCCGTCGATCTACTACTACCCGTTTTGACCGATTTGACCGACACGCATCGAAGAAATGTTTACTTGACGCGGTCCTTTTCGCACGGCGTGCAAAAAATGCGTGACGAAACGAAGTGAAACGGCTATTCGGAAGGCGTGCACGGCTCTTGCACGTAGAAAGAAGACAAGGAGGAGATTATCGCGTTTTTACGAAGTCTCGACGAAGATGGTACACAGTACACATAAAAGAGCACGTATAACGGATGACGATAGGGAATAATAGCAAGATGTGGTGTACAAGTTTCATCGCTACGCTGTTGTTGTTGCTGTTGCTGTTGCTGCTGTCACTGCTGCTGTTAATGGAAGCGAAACTCGCTGTTGTTGTTGTTGACGTGGCGGCAAGCCGATACAGTATCATCCGGTCGCGCGAAAGAACAAGAGGTGGCAGACTGGTGAGGTCGAAGGTATTGGGCGGGATGATCCTAAGTTTGTCTGCCTGTTGCGGCAGAATGCGGATGTCCCGCGGCGGTCGCGGCGGTAACAGGCGGTGGATGATGAGACGTGTGATGAGTTTGTGCAGAGGTGGGTCCGGTTGTTCCGGCAGCAAGTACGGGACCGGGGGCCGCGGGTCACTTGGGCGGGAATGGCGAGATCACCGATGCGGCTACCGCGGCGGCCTGCTGACTCGCCAGCATCGCCGCTGCAACACATACACATATACCGGAACCGATTAATTGTTTTTCCATTCCAAAAAGAGAGAAAGAAAAAAGAGAGAGAAAGAGAGAGAGAAAGAGAGAGGAAAAAAAAGAAGACGTCATTTCGATCGGGTGAAGATCGAGTCCACTCTCGCCGCCGCGGTTCGCGCGATTTCCGCGATCGTTTGACGACTCTCCCCTCCCCTTCCCCTTCGCATTGCTCGCGCAGTGCCTCTACCGGTGTTCGCGCTACTCCACTCCACGCCCAAGTATAGGGAGCGAGCGAGCAAACGAATAACGGAGTGAGAGTGAGAGTGAGAGTTAGAATGCGAGGAGGGACGACGAGGGGGATAGAAGAACGAAACGAACCCGTGTTTTTTTATATGTATATATGTATACGAATATCACGCGTTCCATTATTTATTTCGTCTCGTTATTTCTCCACTCTCGATTTTCGCTTCTCGTTCTCCTCCTCCTTTTTTTCGCCTCCTCTTCTCTTTCTTCTCCTCTCCTCATCCTCCTCCTCCTCCTCCTCCTCTTTCTCGTGTTTCTTCTTTTTCGTCTTCTTCGAACGATATCGTGTCGATATAAAATTCGAGGGAGAGGGAAGAAAAAAAGAAAAGAAAAAGAAAAGGAAGAAACGACTCGTAACGATAGATTGATAACAATTAGTTATTTCGATCATGATCGTGACGACGGATTATATTAGACGCATCGATACAATCGATATCCCGAACAACGATTATCACAGTTAACTATGCGTTCGTAATTACATACCCTAAGTGTCTCGTAACTCAATGACACATCCCTCCTCTTCTTTTATCCCGTACGTGCCGTACGTATATTTAGAATTTCAAGCACGCGTCGCACCGAGAAACATTAGCACACGCTGTTATCCCTGACCGTGTATCTGTATCTTCCCGCGATGAATTGTACGATGATCGATCTATTTTCCAATTAACTACCCGCACGTTTCGTAATAAAGTAACCAAGTACCGGTAGTATCGATTCGCGAGGCTCGCGTTGCACATGTAGTACATGCGTTATATATATATACATAACTGTGTGTAGAGAGGAAGGAAACCCGGAACAGACGAAGGTAACAAACAACTCGAAAACGAATCGATCGACGACGACCTCTTCCTTTTCGTCCGTTTTTCTCTCTTATCGATTTTCTTTCGTCTCGACGCACCAATATGGCGCGTTTATCATTATCGGATCGCGATCAGGTTGCCGTCGAAAAATTGCTCGAAAACCCAATCTTCGAACGGTGCGAACGAATGAATGAATAGGATAGATAGGAAGACACGAGTCGAGAGATACGTACGACGCGCGTTCCAGGACGATTATCCAACGAACGAACGAAGGAAAAATGGGTCGGGATGAGGATGATAACGGTGATGATGACGGTTTGGATGACGATGATCGACGACGACGACGACGACGACGACGATGACGACGACGACGACGACGACGACGATGGTGATGGTGGTGGTGGTGGTGGTGGCGGCGAAGACGACGGTGGCGACAGTGGACGGTTCGATTCGAACCGCTATTTATTGTCAGGGTCTGACGAGAGGCTTACCTCCGTACGGGGCGGGATATTGTCCGGTCAATAGGGGATAACCTAGGCCAACGTGCGTGTGGTGATGCGTGTGCACGTGTCGTTGGGGCGGGGGCGATCTGTTATCCTTGGTCAAGGTTCCAGTGCCAGCGTCGACGGGCTGTTGCTGCTGCTGTTGCGACTGCTGCCCGCCCGACTGAACCTGCTGCTTCGCCTGGGATTGCTGGCTCTGGGATTGGGGCGGGCCGGGGCCGGCCACGGAGCTGGGCGGTCCGCTCGGTGGGCGTGACGGTGTTGGCCCCGCGGACGACGGGCTGGCCGAGGCCGCGGACGTTTTCGGGGTGGGCGATTTGAGCGCACGCTCCTGAAGCTCGTGTATCTTGTGCGCCGAATAATACTGATTGGCGTGGTGCTGGAGCAGGTCGAGGGCTTTGCCGGCTGGCGGCCTGCTCAGATCCTCGGGCGCGTGATACCTGGGCAACTGGTGCAGATACGGATTGCCGGAGTAGGGGCCTGGGACGAGCATCGGGCTGAGGCCTCGATACACCGGGTGGCCTGGATCGAACGGCAACGCGCCGTAGTGTTGGGGTTGCATGTAGCCCGGATGGATGTACGCGTACTGCGAGGTGGGGGGCGGCGGTGGTCCCTGCGTCTCCATCGTTGGCTTCACGCCCTCCTGCTTGCTCTTCGAGTCCTCGCTCTTGCCCAAATCCTGAAGCTTCTCCTGCTTCGGCTGGTGCTTCGGGCTCGGGGGCGGCGGCTTCGCCTGTTGGCTCTGCTTGTTCACCTCCTCCTTTCGCCTCTGGTCACCCGGATACAAGTAATACCTTCGGTCGTCCTGTAACGGGCCAGGGGGCGGCGGCGGGGGCGCCGACCTCTGACTCTGACCACTGTGGTACACGTGATACGGGCTCATCTGGCTCTTCATCTCTATACTTTCCTTCAATATCTGGTGATTCTCGTGTTGCTTCTCCTTCAAGCTAGGCGGCTGCTGCTGCTGCTGCTGTTGTTGCTGCGGTTGCTGCGACTGGGGCTCTTGCTTTATCTTCGCCTTCTGCTCGTGCATCTCTTGCTCCTGCTGCTGCTGCTGCTGTTGCTGTTGCTGCTGTTGTTGCTGTTGCGAGACGGGTTGAGGCGGTTGATACGGGTAGCCGGGCGGCATGTAGCCGCCGTAACCGCCGTAGTAGTGGGGCTGTTGTTGCGGTTGGGGCACCGATTGGCTCAACTCCTTCTTCTCCTTCTCTGCCACCACGCTCTGCAGGCTCGCCAGGCTGGGCATCTGCGGTATGTTGAGCGGTTTCATCTCCTGTTTCGGCGCGACCAGATCGCTCGGTTTCTGATCGATCGGCTTGCTCTCGGCCACGCTCGGGACCAGGTACGGCGGTTGGCCGTAGTACGGGTACATGTTGAAGTGGGAGGGGAGGTGGGCGCTCGTCGCCACCTTCCCCCCGTCCTTGTCCTGCTGGCCCTGCTTCGACTTGTCGGCGGCCTCCGCCTCGAGCACGGGCGCCGCGTCGTCCGAGATGTCCGAATAGGCCGGGCTCTGCACGTCGTCCCGCGTCGCGTCGACGATCGGCGCCTCCAGCGGGGACGGGTGCGGGCTGCCACCCGGCGATTTCCTCGACTTCTTCTTGTACCCCTGTGCCTTGGACGCGGCGCGCGGATCTTTGCTCTTGTCCTGGTCGGGCATCAGCGCCGCGGTCGGCTTCACCTTGAATTGCGGCATCTTCGCGTGCAACGACACGCTCTGATACGGTTGCAAATGCGCTTGCACGCCTTGGCCTGGGTGGCCCGGCTGCGCCAGGCCCGCCCCTTGCAAACCGCCCGCCTGTTGGGAGGCGGCTATCTGGTTGGCCAGGCCTTGAAGGGCAGGGTGTTGGCTCGCGATGCTTTGCAATCCTTGGGACTGTTGTTGTTGTTGCTGCTGCTGCTGCTGTTGTTGCTGCTGCTGTTGCTGCAACCCGGCCGCGGTTTGTTGCACCACGTGAGCTTGAGACGGCTGACCGATTTGCGCCGATAATGGATGCTGTACGGACAATTGATGGGCGGCCGCCAATTGTTGTTGCTGTTGTTGTTGAATGGACTGTTGCTGTTGCATTTGTTGGCCGGGTTGTACGCACTGCTGCTGCGGCGGAGGCGGGGGTGGCGGGGCAACGGTTTGACCGGTTTGCAACGCTTGCTGGCTCGCTTGGAGAATGGAACTCGTTTGTTGCTGGTGGTGGGACGACAATTGGGACGGCTGAGGCGGTTGGGGGATATTCAACGGGGGCGGAATGTTGGCGGCCGGATGAGGCGAGGACACGGAGGATCTCGGCGACTGGCTAGCACGAGGGCCCGGGCTTTGCGGCGAGTTCGAGCCGGCCAATTGATTCGATTGTTGCTGCTGTTGTTGCTGTTGCTGTTGCTGCTGCTGCGACTCGCGTCTCGCGTTGGAACTCGATATGGCGGTGGACGTCGGGGCGGGCAATTCGGATTCTTGTCCGAATCTGAGCACGCCCGGTTTGACGATGCCGCTACCGCCACCTCCCTTGTTGGCGGTCTCCGCGGCGAGGACTGCCGCGGGTGGCTCCACTATACTCGGTGAGGTGACGCGCGGCGGGGGTGGCGGAGTCTCGGGCGGCAGGCCTGTCGGCTGTGGGCTCGCTGCACGAAGCGGCGTCCCCTCGGGCTTGTCGGCCGGCGATTTGACGGGTGTCGCGGGGCTGGGCGCCTCGATGTTGCTCTCGTCGTTCTCCGACATGCTTGTGATCCCCTCCTTCGTATCGTCGTCGTCCGCCGAGCCATGGGCGTGACTCTGATGATACTTGAGCCCGTTGATGTGTTTGTACTTTTTGTTGCAATTCGGCTCCGGGCACTCGAGCAGGACCGGGCTCGCGGGCGGCGAGCCGCTCGGCGGGGTGGGCGGCGGGGCCCGCCTCTTGTTCTTGTCCTCCTCCTCGGGGCCGCGCGACTTCCGTTTCGCGGCGGGGTCAGGCCGCGGTGGGACGAACGCCGCAGGACTCGGGCTCGCGGCCGGCGAGCCCTGCGCGCCCCTCCGCCCCTTCGCGCCCCCGTTCCGCAGCTTGCTGTGCACCGAGCTCCTCGTCTCCGTGAAGTTGCTCAGATCGTTGCCGGGGGTGGCGTTCGCGGCGGCTCTGCCGCGCTTCCCCCGCCCCTTCGGCGTCCTCGCGTCCAAATCGCTGGTCGGCGAGTCGCAGAACCTCGGCGGTGCCCAGTCGTGGCGCGTGCAGTCGAGCAACGTGCCAACGTAGGTTTTACCGCGCCACGTCACGTTTACCACCAACACGCCTGCAATCCATCCAAATCGTGTCATCCTGTAATCCGTATGTTCGTGTCTCGTGTGTGTGTGTGTGTGTGTGTGTGTGTGTGTGTGTGTGTGTGTGTGTGTGTGTGTGTGTGTGTGTGTGTGTGTGTGTGTGTCGTCGGGCTTGTCGGCCGGCGATTTGACGGGTGTCGCGGGGCTGGGCGCCTCGATGTTGCTCTCGTCGTTCTCCGACATGCTTGTGATCCCCTCCTTCGTATCGTCGTCGTCCGCCGAGCCATGGGCGTGACTCTGATGATACTTGAGCCCGTTGATGTGTTTGTACTTTTTGTTGCAATTCGGCTCCGGGCACTCGAGCAGGACCGGGCTCGCGGGCGGCGAGCCGCTCGGCGGGGTGGGCGGCGGGGCCCGCCTCTTGTTCTTGTCCTCCTCCTCGGGGCCGCGCGACTTCCGTTTCGCGGCGGGGTCAGGCCGCGGTGGGACGAACGCCGCAGGACTCGGGCTCGCGGCCGGCGAGCCCTGCGCGCCCCTCCGCCCCTTCGCGCCCCCGTTCCGCAGCTTGCTGTGCACCGAGCTCCTCGTCTCCGTGAAGTTGCTCAGATCGTTGCCGGGGGTGGCGTTCGCGGCGGCTCTGCCGCGCTTCCCCCGCCCCTTCGGCGTCCTCGCGTCCAAATCGCTGGTCGGCGAGTCGCAGAACCTCGGCGGTGCCCAGTCGTGGCGCGTGCAGTCGAGCAACGTGCCAACGTAGGTTTTACCGCGCCACGTCACGTTTACCACCAACACGCCTGCAATCCATCCAAATCGTGTCATCCTGTAATCCGTATGTTCGTGTCGTCGTGTGTGTGTGTGTGTGTGTGTGTGTGTGTGTGTGTGTGTGTGTGTGTGTGTGTGAGTGTGTGTGTGTGTGTGTGTGTGTGTGTCACTCACCTCCTTCGGTCTCGTGCCAAACGATGCCCTCCAAAGTGACCGACGTCCCGGGCTCGCAAGGTCCCAGACATTCCGGCTCGGTGATGGTCCCCACGCTAGTACCCACGCACACATCGGACATGTCCTGCAATTTGTTATCACGTGTTAACCCTCGCGTTACACAGAACGCTTACGGAACGCGAGATCGGTCCAACCGATCGTTCGTTCGATCCGGCCGTATTGCGATCGCGTTAATGCCTAATGACACGGTTTATATTATAAATGTCCGATATCCATCGCGATCGATAATCCACGATAATCTACTATTGCTACTCATTCTCCGACGAGTCTCGTCACATTTGCACGTCTTTCGGATTATTTATTTTTTGTCGAAGAAGATCGGCGATATAGAATGTCGCAAATCCGCATTTCGATGTATATTTATTGATGAAGTGACATTTTCACCAATTCGTACGACGTACAGAGGCAAGATCGAATCCTATGGATCGTCTCCAACGACAACGAGAGAGAGAAAAAAAGGAAATTGAGCGAGTATAAAAAGGAGGAGTAAAGGAGGAGGAGGAAGAGGAGAAGAGAAGTGAATAGACTTTTTAAAAAAAAAAAGAAAAAAGATAAAAGCGAATTGCCATATACGAGACTCGGCTGCACGTGCATGCATTGCTTCTAAGATGTAAGCACGTGGTGCGCCTACAACGATGCTATTCCGTGATAACGATGACTTATCCTAGTTACGTTTTCACGCTCGATCGATAATCGCTTTCGTCCGATTTCCTTTCGATCTTACCGATCGATGCTAAACTGAAGGAAATACGCGATTTCACAAGCCAAATTCCATCGATAAGTATCTATTCGACAGATTCACACGATGATTATATCCGAATATATTTTATCGATCTCTC